GGCCGGGGTCTTTTCCCACCAGGGTGGTGGAGCTCACGGGATATGAGGAGAGCGAGCTCTTGGGGCGCTCTGTGTACCAGTACTACCACGCCCTGGACTCCCGCCACATCCTCAAGACGCACCACAACCGTAAGTGCCGCCATGTTCCCATCAGCCTTTGCTCCGGCGACCTTCACCCCCCCCCCCCTTTGACCTCTGACCTCTGACCCCTCTGGGCAGTGTTCTCCAAGGGGCAGAGCTCCACGGGCCAGTACCGGCTGCTGGTGAAGCGGGGGGGCTACGTGTGGGTGGAGACGGACGCGACAGTGGTCTACAACAGCCGCAGCGGCCAGCCCCAGAGCGTCATCTGCGTCAACTACATCCTGAGGTGAGGGGTCAAGCGTGCCGGAGCCTGACCGGTGACAGCAGACGAGAGCGACGCTCCGGTGGAGCTCAGCAGCACAAGAAGGACACGGGGGGGGACGCATGAGGAAGTTGAGAGGAAAGGCATTTAGAGAATAACAAGAGGGTCTTTACGCAGAAGGTGGCGGAGGTGTGGAACTAGATGCCCTAATATTGCGAGACAGATTTATACACTGCCCTGTGAGAATGTGGATCGGCGAGCGCGACGCCTTCGGCTCAGCAGCTCCTCCCTGCGTCCCCCCTCAGTGAGCCCCTGGAGTCGGAGGTGATCTTCTCCCTGGAGCAGACGGAGGACCTCTCCCCCTGCCCCGTCGCCGGGGAGCCCCTGCCCCTCTGCGCCCCTCTCTCCGGGGGGTGGGGGCAGCTGGCACGGGCGCCTGCCGAGACCACGACGGCACTGTACTGGGAGAGGGGGCAGCCAGGTGAGCCCTGCGCCACGCGGAGTCCAGGTGCCCAGTGGGGCTGGATGTACATCACACTGTGGCTTCTACATCAGTTCTGCACCTCGGCTTCTGGGGGTCAACAGGGTCCAGAGTCAATAAGGTCCAGAGTCAACAGGGTCTAGAGTCCCTGAGGTCCAGAGCCAACAGGGTCCAGATTCACCGGAGTCCAGAGTCAACAGAGTCCAGATTCACTGGGGTCTAAAGTCACTGGGGTCCAGAGTCAACAGGATCTAGAGTCACTGGGGTCCAGAGTCAATAGGGTCTAGAGTCAC